CGGATGGCCCGAGCGGCCGGGGCCACGTGGGGGCAGGTACAAGGCCAGCGGCCGCCTCGACGTGGGGTGGCAAACCCGGTGTGGGTTTAATTCTTTGAGGGGGCTTTCCCTGAAGGGGCCGAGACTGTTCGGTAGTGCAGACCGCCTGTGTCCGCGGGTGCCAGGGACGAATCCCGGGAATCCCCTGACGTTGCTCCGGACTCGGGGCCATTGTCGTGAGGTGCCCACGACGGCGAACCTCCGCCTCTTCCCCAGGCCTCGCCGGGCACGGGGGCTGCGGTGGGTGCCAGCGGCCCTGTCGTGCTGCGGTCACTCATCCTGGGTGGGCAGGGCTACCGGGTCAGGCAGGCCAAGGCCAGCTGGTGCGGGTTCCCGGATTCGGTGCTAGAGCACGGGCCGGGACAGACGGGACGCCGAGTGCTGTGGTCAGTTCCTCGTTGTCACGATGACAGTCGATGGCCACGGCGTCGCGGAGCTGGCTTGCGTGGTCCCACAGGAGGACTAACAGCGCTGAGCTGAAGCCAGGGACAGAGAAGCAGAGGTTTCTCTGTGGCGATTTTCTCGGGCAAGGCTGATGATGGGTGACCAGGTGACGGGTCAGGCTACCGTTGTGTCCATTCCTGGGGGTCTCCTTTCCTGAGTGTTGGATGAGGGTGTTTCATCTGGTGAGGTCCATGAGCTCCCGGTCTGAGGTTCCTGACCTGCTGGGTACAGGTGCTCCTGGTTTGGTTTGGTAAGTTGGCCTCAATGAGTGGTCGGTTGTGCCTTGAGATGGTGCTGCGCCGATGGCCTTTTGCTTGTACAGACAAGGTTAAAGTCCTTGTGCCTTGGCGCCTGTATTCAAGGTGGAGTGACTTATAGCAAACTAGTGCTTCTCAAAGTGGAACTTGGGGTTAGGCACAGCCTGAAAACCAGCGATACACACCACAGAGCAGCTCCAAGTAGGCACAGCTTACTCTCCACTACCATCTACTATTTAGGTGGAGAAGTTTTCTCAAGGGTTAAATTTATTCTTAAAATCAAAGGAAGGAAAAGGACAATAAAATTGGTAGTTTACCTCATTGTAGCAAAAACTCACATCCATCCATAAATACATGCTGAAATTGGAAAAAATTCCATCCCTTCCATTATGGAATGCATTTTCAATAAAAGTGTATTTTCCTTTAGTGATTATCAATATGTGTTGATTACATTGCTTTGATCAAATGCCCATTAATAATTATAATTCAGATTTTTTCTTAACATTTAGAGACTAGGTTAAGGGAATTAAAAGTTTAAGTGTTCCCAAGAAGTATAAAGATGATGCTAAGTAAAAAGAGATGTGATTACATTAGGATCAACTGTGAGAGGAAACCTGAAATGGAAGTAGAAACTCAAGGGGTTAAAGAAGTAAGGTCAAAATTATGTAAATGTAATTTTGAAAAACTTTAGGTTTATGGAGCAGTTGTGAAGATGGCTGAGTTCATCTCCTAAGTTATCTTATATAACATGGGACATTTGTTAAAACTAAGAAATCACATTGGTATACCACCACTAACTGGATTTCACATGTTTTTCACTAACATCCTTAGTTGACAGCATTCAGGTGACCACATTGCATTCTTTAATTTCTTGTAGTCTGAGGCAGTTTTTCAGTTTTCCCTTGTTTTTTCACCACCTACATTTTATGAGTACTGCTCAGTTATTTCATAGACTAGTCCTCATTTATTCCACAATATTTAATATGTATCTTTATCTAGCCAGGAGGCTGGAAGCTGGGTGTACAGGGTTAAAAGAGCCTTGATTTTACTGGTAGTAGTAGTACTTATTACTTTGGTTAGTAAATGGCCGGCTTTTTGTTTGGGCCACAGTGCTCACCAGCTCATGCAGGCCCTGCTCCCCAGACCCCAGCATACCACATACCTACTGGAGGGGCCTTTTTTCTGTTTTATTTCAGCACAATTAGCACGTCAAGTTTAGCACATGAAGGTTGGAGAGAGATGGCATATTTGGAGGACAGTTTTTAAAATACGCTTAAAATTGAGACTGGGTCGGATGATCCACAATTTGGAGAAATCCCCAGTGAGTTAACATATAAAAGGAAAAACAATACTGTTCAATTTTTTAAGGTATGTCAGTGTGATTTAAATGATTCATGTTTCAGGATTACTCTGAACATTGCTTATGTACTGGTTTCGGTAAGAAGACCTCAGATTTGATACCATATAAACATCACTATTACCAACTGAGTACATGAAAGTCCACCAGATTCTGAATACTTGCTTCCAAATATTTCTGAATACTGATGTCAGTGTAGCCTCACATTGAATGGCCCAAACTACATGTGGTCTGCAACATTTGACAACTTGCACTATAGTGCTCTCATCTTTCATCTTGATGGGACTCCTCCTTACCCTTAGCCAGGAAAATGCAGGGAATTGGACATGATGGTGAATTCATTAGTACACGCCATTGTCTTTAACCAAGTTGCACAAGCCAGAAATCTAGGTGTAAGGCTGTAGAAAGGTGGTAAAGGGTACTAAGCCAAAGGGAAAGGCGGGGCTCCATTCTGCTGGCCAAGTCCTGTGTCTTGGGAGAGGCTTCCTTAGTCTGAGGAATGGGTGCTCTTCCTGAGATTAATCTAGTTAATATAAATTTTCTGGCCATGTCCACAAATTATCCTTTCTTTCCCCGCTCCCATTCCCTCAGGTAGTTCTGTTGGCCATTTCCACAAGTCCTGAATGTGTCCATTTCTTGCCATTTCCATGGTGACCACTCTCATCCAAGCAACTGTCATTTTTGATGGGACTTGTACAATAGTCAGCTAACAGGTCTCCTGCTTCCCACTCTTGTTTCTCTAACCAACCATAACCCATTTTCCATTTTTCTTTCAGAAGAACTAATAAAAATTACATTACTTAGATCTAAGAAGTGGATGAAGATACAAATAATGTGTACCAGAGTGTTAGATTGTGGTTTATGTGGGTTTGGGGAGTTAGCACTGTTAGGCTTGGCTGTTCATTTATTTCCCATTTACTAATTTATCCAATTATTATACTGATTAGTATGGCCACCTTTTATTCTTTATGCTTTTTAAATATCACTTTGTTCCAAAAAAACGCCTCCCCAAATCTGGTAGGTTATGTGAAAGCTTTTCCACAAGACACCAGCTGAGCAAGATGTTGGAACATGAGTGCAAAACTTTTCCTGGTTTTGATGTTCAGCTCTGATCTAAATAAGTAGACAAAATTCCCTAAAGTCAGACTTGAGTACTGACCAACTGAGGATGATTCTAAGCCTGAAACCCCGAAAGAAAAAATTAGAAAGTTTCTTTAATGAATTCAGTGAGATTGGTGAGTATTAGCTCTTGGTGAGCAGAGGAGCAGAGGTCACAGGGAATCTGGGCATGGCACTATCATCTCATAGGGCACTATCATCTCATAGAAAATGCCCAGTCGGGCTGGGGATGTGGCTTAAGCGGTAGTGTGCTTGCCTGGCATGCGTGTGGCCAGGGTTCGATCCTCAACACCACATGCAAACAAAGATGTTATGTCCACCAAAAACCAAAAAATAAATATTAAAAAGTTAAAAAAAAAAAAGAAAATGCCCAGTCCACCTAAGTGGCTGGGTTTTTCTTTTAGAATGTTAATAGGCAACAGTCCATAGTGAAGATGGAGAAGTGATTTAAAAGCAGTTCTGTGAAACTGGTTCACGGATCGAGATACTCCAGGACCTATTCAGAGTTCTTTGACAAGTACAGAAATCAGGAGTATGCCTTAGAAATTTTTATAGCAAATTGATAGTCTACTGTTGAACCTGATAATAAAAATTTGAGCTTGTATTATATTTTTTCATTTTGAATAATTCTTAATTATATTTTACAAGATATGGCAGTATGTAAAAACGTGGATGTGTAACCTATGTGATTCTGTAATTTGTATTTGGGGTAAAAATGGGAGTTCATAACCCACTTGAATCAAATGTATGAAATATGATATGTCAAGAGCTTTGTAATGTTTTGAACAACCAATTAAAAAAAATTTAAAAGATTATTGCTTTATGTCAGATTTAAGTTTTAAAAATGGTTGTTCACTACAGATTGCAAACTATAGGTCTCTAGTGAACCTAAAAGCACAAGTTTTACATATAGGAACATTACATTATGGAAATTTTACAGATGATATGGATGTATCATGCGATTCACTGCAATAAAACAAGGTACATGATACTCAAAAAATAATTTTAATGACCTACCTGAAAACTATAATCTACACAGCTTGGGTCTATGTTGCTTTTTGCATTTAAGAGTAAATCTTAAGGGGCTGGGGCTATGGCTCAGTGGTAGTGCACTTGCCTGGTATGTGTGAGGCACTGGGTTCGAGTCTCAGCATATAAGTAAATAAAGGTCTATCAACAACTAAAATAAAATATTTAAAACAAAGAGTAAACCATACTATTCCGCTGAGTGGATGTGCCAGTATTTA